TCCTGTTTTTTTTGAGACAGGGTCTTGCTCTGTCCACCCAGGCTGGAGTACCATGGTGTGATCATGGCTCACTGCAGCCTCAACCTCCTGGGCTCAAGCAGTCCTTCCACCTCAGCTCAGCCTCTTGAATGGCTGGGATTACAGGCACATGCCCACCATGCCCAGTTTTTTTGTTTTGTTTTGTTTTGTTTTAGATGGAGCTTCACTCTTGTTGCCCAGGCTAGAGTGCAATGGTGTGATCTTGGCTCACCACATCCTCCACCTCTGGGTTCAAGCGATTCTCCTGCCTCAGCCTCCCGAGTAGCTGGGATTACAGGCATGCTCCACCATGCCTGGCTAATTTTTTATTTTTGGTAGAGACAGGGTTTCTCCATGTTGGTCAGGCTGGTCTTGAACTCCCAACCTCAGGTGACCCACCCGCTTCAGCCTCCCAAAGTGCTGGGATTACAGGCTTGAGCCACTGTACCTGGCTTTTTTTTTTTTTAAGAGAAGGGGTCTTGCTATGTTGCCCAGGCTAGATCCCAGTTCTAATCCTTACAGCACCCCTGTGGGGAGGTGGTGTTTTGCCCCCGGGTTTCACAGCAGGAGCAGCAGCAATGTGGCAGCAGGACCACTGGGATCTGAGAGAGCAGAGCCATTGGAGGAGGGCAAGGGAGAGATGTGGTCTCTCCTTATTTTGAGGTAAGGCCTTTGGATCCCCTGCGTTTCCTGAGCCTGTGAGCAGGAGGAGCAGAAACCTCTCCCCTCAGTGGGTTTTGCATGGTGGTAGGGCTGGGGTGGGCTGGGGCAAGGCCAGGGCTAGGATGAGGGAGTTGCTGCTCACCACGTGGTCTTCTCCTTGGAGAACTTGATGCCTGGCACGCGGCCCATGCGCCGCACCATCATGTGCAGGTGGCTGCTGCCCGTCAGCACCTTCACAGCGCTACCCATGGTGATGCTTTCCAGGCTTAGCCCGTTCACTTCCGTGATCTTGTCCCCAACGCACAGGCCAGCCCGCTCTGCACCACAGGATGGGAGCGGCTGGCATGGGGCACTCGGGAGAAGAGTCCCCAGGGTGGGGGCTGAGCCTCCCCCATCAAATGGAGCTCCTTCGGGTTCAACTGATCTCCTCAGTCAGAGTAGGGATTGTCAGAGCAGGGGCTGAGTGTTCCCAGTGCCTAGGGATCTGTCCCTTAAACCATTCTGCCCTGAGGGTGAGCCCTCTCCCCCCGTCAGTCAGGCCTTCCAGAGTTGGGGACTCTTCCTTCTGTCCCTGACAGCAGCATCCCCTGCAATTCACTGAGGTTAGAGTCACATCCTAAGCCTGGACTTCAACCTGGGGGTTCTGCTTACCTGCACTGCTGCCTTCCTCCACTTTGCTGACGAAGATGCCCAGGCCATGCTCTGAGCCCCCACGCACGCTGAAGCCCAGCCTCCCTGCTGGACTCTTCTCCACCCGGACTGAATGGATGATGTCACTTTCATCACTGTTGGCTGTGGGGACAGGGATTTAGGGATGCCCCCATGTTCATTGCGGGCACTGAGGGCCCCTGGGTTCCCCAACTAGGGGCCTGCAAAGGCTGGGTTGCTGGGCACAGTCACACAGGCATGTAGGGGCCTAAATGCAGTGGGGCAGGTCAGCCCATTTCTAAGGCCCCTCTGGGTGATTTTTATTTTATTTTATTTTAAAGTAACAGGGTCTTGCTCTGTCATCCAGGCTGGAGTGCAGTGGTGTGATCATTGGCTCCCTGCAGCCACAAACTCCTGGGCTCAAGTAATCCTCCTGCCCCAGCTTTCCAAGTAGCTAGGACTATAGGCACACACCACGGTGCCTGGGTTATTTTTAAATTTTTTGTAGAGGCAGGGTCTCACTTTGTTGCCCAGACTGGCCTCAAACCCCTGGCCTCAAGCAATTCTCCCACCTTGGCTTACCAAAGTGCTGGGATTACAGGTGTGAGCCACATGTCCTGCCCCCTCTGACTGATTTTGAGGCCATGGGCCGGGAGGGTGTAGAAGAAGGTGAGATCAGCGGGACAGGACTCTATGCTAAAGACACTATTCTCTAGCCGGGTGTAGTGGTGTATGCCTGTGGTCCCAGCTACGCGGAAGGCTGAGGCAGGAGCCCAGGAGGTCAAGGCTGCTGTGACCTGTGTTCACACCACTGCACTCCAGCCTGGGTGACAGAGCGAGACCCTGTCTCAAAAAAAAAAAAAAGAAAGAAAAGAAAAAGAAAAAGATGCTGTTCTCCTTCCTTCCTTGTGTGTGTGTGTGTGTGTGTGTGTGTGTGTATATCAATGCTTTCTGAGCTTCACATGCCCATGGGCCTGGGGGAAGCCAAATTAATAAACAATTCTGTTACTCCGAGAGTCCGATGGACAGACAAGAATGTTCAAGATTCTGTTCTATTGGGCACAGTTGAGGGTGTCTGGCCTCATCAGCTTGCAGCATAAATTAGTATATTAGCTCTATCTTCAAATGCTTGTAGAGCTACCCAGTGGAAGGCATTAGATGTTTTCATCTGTGTAAACAGAACCTGTCTGCAGTACTCTTGCTCACATAGTGGAATTAGACAGAGGCAGATTTTGTCAGGAAAAACTTTCTAAAACATTCAGCTATTGGAAATAGAATGGGTTTTCTTTCTTTTTTTCCTTCGAGACAAAGTCTTGCTCTGTCGCCCAGGCTAGAGTGCAGTGATGCGATTTCAGTTCACTGCAACCTCGGCCTCCCAGGTTTAAGTGATTCTCCTGCCTCAGCCTCCCAAGTAGCTGAGATTACAGACATGTGCCACCCATGCCCGGCTAATTTTTGTATTTTTAGTAGAGATGGGGTTTCACCATGTTGGCCAGGCTGGTCTCAAACTCCTGACCTCGTGATTCACCTGCCCTGGCCTCCCAAAGTGCTGGGATTACAGGAGTGAGCCACTGCCCCAGCCTTGAAATGGAAGGGATTTTCTAAGACAGATAGTAAGCGTCCCATCTTTGGAGGCATGCAAGCTGAGACCCAGCAAATCTCTGGGATGTTATGGAATCCCTGAGCGCCCTTCCATCTCTTAGACTCTGTGATTCTAAGAGGAGTCAGGGTTCTAGGAACTACTTGGCTACATGCGGAAAGAAACCCCAAGCCACACCACGCTGCAATATGTATGTGCCCAAGACGGTCCTCTCCATCACACTGGGGAAAGTAGAGGGGGAAGGGGGTTCCTAAAGGCTGAACCCATCAGGTAAGGATTCTTTCTTTTTTTTTTTTTTTGAGATGGAGTTTCACTTCTTCTCCTAGGCTGGAGTGCAATGGCTCAATCTTGGCTCACTGCAACCTCCGCCTCCTGGGTTCAAGCGATTCTCCTGCCTCAGCCTCCCCAGTAGCTGGTATTACTGGCATGTGCCACTACGCCGGGCTGAATTTTGTATTTTTAGTAGAGACAGGGTTTCACCATGTTGGCCAGGCTGGTCTTGAACTCCTAACCTCCAGTGATCTGCCTGCCTCGGCCTCCCAAAGTGCTGGGATTACAGGCATGAGCCAAGGCACCCGGGGCAGTAAGGTTTCTGTAAGGACTCTGATGGGTGGGATTTTGATGGGTAAGGGGAAAGGGAGTGGCACTGATGAGGGGGAAGGAGCCAGGGATGCTCAGCTGTGGGCCCTTAGGAGGCTTTCCAGTTACAGAAAAGAAGGCTGGAGGGGTAAGTTGGGTCCCAGGTGAGAAGCTGAGATTTCTTCGTGGGTAAGGGTTACTCTAGAGGTGTTTGACAGGGAGAAATCACACACACACAGACACACACACGCACACACACTCTTCAATTTGATCTAAGAGAAGTCAGGTTACAGGGCACAGCCAGGGCAGCTCGGAAAGAAATCCCCAAGGGCAGCTTGTGGGAGGGGTGGTGCAGGACAGATGTGGGGGGCCAGGGCTTTCCCAGCTGATTAGATTACACAGATCTCAGGCCACTTACAGCCTTAGCCAAGGAGCCTTTTGCTCCCTTGCTCCCAACCCTCTCTCCTCAGGGCCTCACTGGGGCCCCCCTAGGGCCCTGGGTCAGGGAATGTGAAATCTGAGGTTTTCCAGGAGCCTGGGCCCTGCAAGGATGGAAACTTCTCTACCTCCACTGCCCCAGCCTCTCCTCCAGGTGCTCCACTGCAGCCCCGGCACTATCCTTGCTTCTGTTCTTGCCCCCTTCAGCTATTCTTTATACAGTACCCAGAGTCAGCTTTTACATTAGATCTTGTCTTTTCCCTGATTAAAAACTTCAACACCTGTTCCTGCTTCTAGAACTCCAGTCTCCTCACCATGCCTTATAAGGCCCTGCCTGGGCTTCCCTCTGTCCACCCCTCCGCCCTCCCTTCCACCCTCCCTCCCTCACTGAGCTCTGGCCACCCTGATCTTCCTGTTCCTCGTGGAGGTCAAGCCCTTCCAGTGTCCCCACTGCCTGCAGTGCTCTTGCCCAGGCCTTTAGAAGGTCAGCTCCTCTTCCTCATTTCCCTCCTGGGTCAGACACCACTTTCTCGGAGAAGGCTTCCTGGAGTATCCTACCCCTCCTCCCAGTGATTCCCTCTTGTAGGGCTTCTCAAAGCGTTGTGCTGTATCAGCAGCATCAGTGTCATCTGACAACTTGCTAAAAACAGGAATTCTTTCACTTTACCACAGACCCACTGGACCAGAAGCTCTGGGACTGAGCCCTGCAATCTATCCCTGAATGAGCCTTCCTGGCAATTCTGAGGCATCTGAGGTTTGAGAAGCACCATTCTATCATATCATCAGATGATCATCTTCTGACTCTTCTCATCCTTTGCCATTGTTTGCTTATTTGTCTTATTTATCTGTCTCTTTTGACTGGACTGTAAGCTCAATCATGGTGGGGACTTTGTAATTCTCTTGTAGTATATCTCCAATATGTTGGACAGCACTTGGTATTTGATAAGTATTTTTTTGAATAAGTGAAAGAGTAAATGGATGAATGGATGGACAAACTAGGAGAGTGAGGAGAAATGCATTAAGGGTAATGCTTTCCTGGATTAAAGGTAATTCATTTTTTCTGGGACCAGTTGAGTTTAAGGAGCTGGTGGGGTCTCATGGGGCTGATGTAGGTGGCAATGTCCCTCTTCCCACTGTTTATTCCTTATCAGCTACTTTACTCCCGGGGAGTGATCTACATAATAATATGGGGCAGGGTTCCAGGCTGCGGGGACTTGGGAGATGTCTGCGCTCAGGCAGAGGGGAGAATTCTGAACTCAGAGGGTCCCAGCCCAGTCAGAGGAGAAGCCAAGTGGTCAGAGCAACTCCCCAGTCCCTCACTTGCTAGGAGATCCTGCTTCCTTGGCTGCACAGTGGCACTTGCATGAGGCAGAGGGAGAAAGCAATCATGAAACCCTGGAAGAGGATCTTTAGAGGGATGGTATAGGCCCGGCACAGTGGCTCAGGCCTATAATCCCAGCACTTTGGGAGGCTGAGGTCAGAAGATCACTTGAGCCTAGGAGTTCAAGACCAGCCTGGGCAACATGGTGAAACTCTGTCTCTACAAAAAGTAAAATAAAATAAAATTAGCCAGGCTTGGTGTTGCATGCCTATAGTTCTGGCTTCTCAGGAGGCTGAGGCTGGAGGATCACTTGAGCCCAGAAGTTCAAGGCTGCAGTGAGCTATGATCATACCACTGCACTGCACTTCAGTTTGGGCGGGTGACAGAGCAAGACCTTTTCCCTCTAAAAAAACAAAACAAAACAAAAAGACAGTATAAACAGCCCTTGCATCATACATGGGCAAAGGGAAGAGGGGAGAGGGAGAGAGAGAGAGACAGTATTGGAGGGAGTATAGCGTAGTTCTTTTCATAGAATGGGACTAATAAAGACTGCTGTGGTGCCTGCTTCCCTTTTCCCCAATGTCTCTTAACTCCCCTGGAGACTTCTGCTCCCTGAACAGAATGACCGCGGTGACCCTCAGCAGTGCCCTGTTGCTCACCAGAGGGTGAGGCACAGACTGGTGTATGACAGTGGTGAGCGTGCCAAGCCACTGGTGGAGGAAAGCCTGCTCCCTGAGCAACATGCCCACCCCTGTTTCGGTGGCCTAGGGAGGGGAACAGAGATGCCCCGCTGGGTCAGAGCGGGAGGAACAGGGCCGCTGGGTCAGAGCGGGAGGAACAGGGCCTGAAGAGTCTAGTCTGGGATCCAGCCAGGGCAGCTCTGCTGGCTAAGAAAGAGGAGAGGAGCTGGAGATATTTATCTGGTCCTGCCCACAGAAAGCCCACACTCAGGGGGCCTGGCTCCGCCCCTGGCATTCAAGGTCCTGTCTTGCTCACCAGCTCTTAGTCGCCTCACATCTGTCACTGCAGCCAGGCTGGCTCCTAAGTGCCCACCCACCATGCTCTATGCTTTTCATTTCCAGCTTTTGTTGATGATAGCTCACCCCTGCCACCAGCTGTTCTTGTTGCTCTGTCCTGCTACACTGTAGTTTTCTGGAAGGTGAAGAGGGAGCCTGATTTCTCTCTGGGTCCCTTGTAACACCTCCCCAGGAATGGTATAGAATTGGTGCTCCATGAAGCGGCATTAAGCAACTACATAAGCTTAGGTCTCCCCTTCCCTGATGGAGCTCCCTCTCCACCCTCAACCCTCCTCTTCTGAACATTTGCTGTGCTGCCTTCATTCCCCTCCTTCAGCACTGAAGCCCTGAATTCTGTCTACCCATTTGGGCACTGACTCCTCGCAGCCCAGCACAGAGCTTGTCACACAATGTACTGGTTGATGGAGGATGTCCTCCTTTATCCTGCCCCATCCCCCAGAAGTACACACAATGGATCTGGAGAAGGGCAGAGCCCATGGGAGAAAGAGGCCAGTTCAATCCCCTGCCTTGTCCACCTGGGGCTAGCATACCACACGCATGCCTTTCCCTGCTGCCATGGCCTTCTCTCCCTCCTCTGACCCTTCTACCACCCTGGACCCCTGCAGGATTGGCCTGGAGAAGAAGCAGGTGAGGAAGAGTGTATGGGTTCCCAGGCTGCCTGCCACCTCCCTGTGACTCCAATCTCTTGAATTCCCCCACTCATACAGGCTCTGCCTCCTCCTGCTGAGTTCCCACTGTCCCCTACCCCCACCCTCCCCAACCCAGGCCGGTGGCTGGGTCCCACCCCCACCTTCGATGGGTGAGTTGATGAGGATGACGCGTCCCATGGGCGATGAGGCTCGGATTCCGCGGGGGGGCCCGTTCAGCAGCCGTTGCTGCTTCCTTAGCAGGTATCGCGTTGCGGTGGAGCCTGAGTCGCTGCCTAGGTGGCCTCGGGAGGAGAGGGAGCTCAGAGAGCCGGAGCTTAGGTCTCCTAGGCCCAGTGGGTCGAAGCCCACTGCGAAACCCTGTGCCATGGCGGCTGGGCTAGGGCAGCACCCTACAGGTCCAGAAGGAATCTGCTAGCTCTGGAGAGGCCAGCCCCGCGTGCTTCGAGCTCCATGAGCCTCTCTGCGGGGATGGGGTCTCAGTAACGTGAAGGCCCTTGCTTGTGATGCCTCTCAGCAGTGTGAGCTCCAGGCCTGGGCAGGGAGAGCAGGGATGAGGGAGGGGTGTAAATGTTTCCCCTGCTGCCCTCCAAAACTTCCACCCCTCCCTGCTGGTTTAAGCATCCTGCCCTCCCATGCCTTAGGCCCCCCTCCTGTCTCACCCCAGACCAGAGAACTGCCCCATCCAGGCACCATCGTGGACTCTCGCTGACTTTATACAAGACAGGTGGGAACCTTTCACCCCTCATTGCTGCTGGCGGCTGAGTCATCTACTCCCGTCCTCAGTCCTCAGTAGAGGTTGAGAGTGGGGTTGGGATTACTAAGGGCGCTGGGGCTTAGAGCGGTGTGAGACAAAAGAGAGGTCGAGACAGCTCACGGCATCACCTCTCTCCTGCATATGCAGGTATGGGGGTGGTCCGGGACAGGGTGGGGGCGGCGTGGGGCGGGCTGGGCCTCGAGGACAGGGCTTCAGGACCTTAGACAGCTGAGGCCGAGGAAGCCCCCCAGACACCCGCGGACTCCAGGCTGCGGCTCCGGGTCTAAAGAGTCTGCACGAACCTCTCCCAAGCTTGCGGGAAGGATCCGCTGGAGAGGGGTCCCACGACATCCCGCGCAAAACCCAAGGCCAATTCCCTCAGAGAAGCTCTGGAACCCAGAATGAAGCACCCCAATATCAACTCGGCCATCCAGGCCCCCCACCCCTTTGTGCCTGGTCCCCCTCACCTGGTCGCTGCTGTGGCGCCGCCAGCCTTGTCAAACCACCCTCCCGCGAGAGCTACTGTGGCAGTCTGCAAACCCCACCCACGCTCCGCGGAGGCTGCGGGAATTGCGCTGGCCTGCACCGCCCTGGGCTCCCATTGGCTGGTAGGGCCGTCAGTCATTCTATTCCGACACCTCCCTTGCGCTCCAGGGACAGACTGGTGTTACCTGGTCCCGGGCAGCGGAGTTCTTTACCCACCCCAGTTCTGGTTCTGACGCCCTAGTTCATCCCGCAAATTTAGGACTTGGGTCTCGGCTTGTTCCCCTCCCGCTAGAAACACCTCTTCTCTGAGCCAAGACAGCTACCTGGGCTCCTGGAATTGCCACCCCTCCGTGGGCACCCTTGAGGCCTCCGTGGGGGGACGTCACCGGGCAGAGCGGGACGTGAGCCTGCGTTTGCTGCAGGCGTGCTCTGTGTGGTGACTGGGTGAGTTGTGAGTATGTGTGTGGCGGAAGGGGTGCCTTCTTCACTTGCATCCTCCTCCTCTGTCAGAAGGTGTCTCAGGCTACCCAGTTCTGGAATGGTCGCAGGGTGGGGCAGCTGGTCCCTGGACGGGAAGAATCCTAAGAATCCTTCTGATGCACTTATTCGGATGCAGACCGCGAGGTTCCTGGGGTCGTCTGCCCCTCCACATCCCAGGGGTGGGGCTACAGTCTGGGGTGCAGCGAGAGGGGTTGGGAGTGTAAGGAGACCAGGGACACAGTGGAGCTAGGGGTTACAGAGGAAGAGCAGGGAGAGGGCTGGGGACATAGAAGGGGCAAAGGCACAGGCACGACAGGAACAGGGCTGTGAAGTGATGCGAATGTCGCGCTGCTACAAGAGGAGCTTGTGGATACTAGGGTAGGAGCCCAGGGGGGCAAGCAGCCAGAGGCCATTGCCAAGGCAGCCATCAAGTAAACAAGCCAGGTGGTAACCCGAGTCCCTCCCGGCGCGCCAGCAGAGGACCGCCCCTCCACACTGTCCACCTGCACCCTGGGCTTTCTCTCTGGGCACCTAGACCTCTTGCTGCAGGGCTGGGGGTCTGCTGAGGCCCGCCAGGGGACTGTAAACAAAGGGAGCAGCGCCCTCAGCTCCAGCCCCTCCTCCCTCTGGCTGGGGAGGGGGCCAGAACTGATCCCCGAGGTGGGATTGGCTCTGGAAAGCAGCTTAGGGCCTGGTCCCGGTGGCCCAGGCCGGAGTGGGGGGGATCGCCTCGAATGACACCCACCTCCCCCAGTTTCTGCCAATCCCCGTGCCCACTGGGTGGGCGCGGCCGGGAAGTTCCTGCCCCTCCCTGCTGGTCGGCGTCACGCGTGACGTCCCGCGTGATGGCTGGGAGGGCCCGGCGGCGACAGCGGAGGCAGAGAGGAAGGCGGTTCTGAGAGCTTCAGGGAGCCCTGGAAAGCGTAAGTGCTCGCTGTCCCTAGCTGGCGGGATTCGGGAATGCGGGTCAGAGAAGGAAGCCTGCCTTGAAACTATCTGTCCTGGTGCAGTCAATATTTTCGGCTCTATGGAGGTCCACAGGGCACAAGGGAGGTTGCAGGGAGGAATGTCAGGGTGGGGCTGTGTGTAGTCACACATTCAAGTGTCTGCAGATGGGCACAATGTGCACCTGTAACAGTCTTTGAGGGCCGGTGTTACAGGACACCTCCACTCTGTCTGTATGTCTGGGCAGGGTGTGCATGATGGTGTCTTTGTGTGTGGGTATGTGAGTGTGAGGGGAGGGCGTGTCTGCCTCTGCGGGAGGAAGTGTGGCTGGAGAGGATTAGTCATTCTGTAGGATTCTGCCCAACTCAGCCAGATGGCTGCACCAGGTTTTCCTCTCTGTGCTGGATAGAGGGAGCAGCCACTGAATCCTGCTCTTATCCGGAGGCAAGTGGTTCAGAGAGGTGGATGAGTGTCTGTGCCAGCCCTACCTGGCCAGGGACCAGGGAGAGCCTGGAGTCATTCAGTGTGAGTTGGAGAAAATGGATCTGTAGAGGGGACTTGTGTGTGCCCACATGCACACACATGGCTGACATCAGAGTTCCCTGATTGAGATCTGAAACAGATAAGCCCTGGGTGGCCAGTAAGGCCTTGCTCTCCTCCAATCAGGGACTGGAGTGTGGGATGTCTTATGCCATTTTCCAAAATAGCCTTGGGGATTTGTATCCAGGTCTCAGGGCAGCTGGGACCTAAAGCTCACCTGAGCATGGGTGTGTAATATATATGTTATATATTCTTGTGTGTCTGCAGTACACGTGGCTGAGATGTTTGTTGCTGCTCATGTGTCAACCACATACATGTAAATCCTCCCTCATGAAAATCTGTACCAGGATAGAGCACAAGGAGATCTGTTTTCCTGTTTCTGGTCTTCCCCTCCCCTTCCTCCAGTGGCTGCAGGTCCCTGGGCGGGGACATTGCTGAGGAAACAGCTCCTTCCCACACCCTTGCTTTCCTTTCTGGTCACCTTGAGCTCATAAAGGGACTGATGATAAGCTCAGGGGCCAGGGCAGGGGCACCAAAATTTCCCCTAGCTGGAGCCCTTGGACCCTTGGACTCCCGCTCTGACCCTTGTGTCTGTCCTGCAGAAAATGGGTGAATTGCCTTTAGACATCAACATCCAGGAACCTCGCTGGGACCAAAGTACTTTCCTGGGCAGAGCCCGGCACTTTTTCACTGTTACTGATCCTCGAAATCTGCTGCTGTCCGCGGCACAGCTGGAAACTTCTCGGAACATCGTGCAGAACTACAGGTGACCACCCCCCAGTCTGACCCTGTGTGCCAGGATCTCCTTTTCTGGGATTAATATAGTATGTCTTGTACCTGCCTCCTCAAGCTTGACAGTGACCCTGTCCCTCAATCCCCTCACTCTCTAGCCCCCTCTGTTGGCCAGAGCTTTAACCCAAAGGATTTTAGAGCATTTGGGTTGAGAAGATGGCACTGATATTTATGGGAAGGGCTGCTCTATGTTTCACAAACCTCTACAGGGACCTATCCCATCGCTGGGTCACCATCTGCAAGGATAGAGGTGCTCAAAGTGGAGTCCCAGGAAGATAGAAGGGAATTCCCCTTATCTTTGGGAGGAAAAACTCTTGCAATGCTCGCAGCCATTTTTGACCCACTGGAAACCACCATCACCCATGACCCAGCATTTTAGCAGAAACAGAAGGATACCCCTCTTCGTGTGGCTAGAAGGGAAATAGAAATAGGAGCCTCCACTTCTGGGAAACTTTGGCCCTCCTCCAAAGACAAGGAGCTCCCTTATGCTGAGACTAGAGGCTGAAGTTCCTGGTCCTCTGTCCAGAGTTACCCTGAGCTGGGCAGATGGGGCCTGTGAGGGTAGATCTGCCCCCTGGCATAGCTTGTCTGCTCCTTGCCAACTTCTGCAGGGCTGGCGTTGTGACCCCAGGGATCACCGAGGACCAGCTGTGGAGAGCCAAGTATGTGTATGACTCTGCCTTCCATCCGGACACAGGGGAGAAGGTGGTCCTGATTGGCCGCATGTCAGCCCAGGTGCCCATGAACATGACCATCACCGGCTGCATGCTCACCTTCTACAGGCAGGTCTTGTCCCATGTCCCCTTCTTGAGTGCCCTGAGCTAGAGCACGGCTTGACTAGGTGCTTCTTGTCTGGGCCAATTTGGTGAGTGAAAGATTGTGTTAGAATCCCTTCCATTCCTCAGAATTCAGCCTCAGCAGTTCTCTCACCCCAGAGACAGTAGATGTGTTTGTATAAATGGGGGTGGGGGTACATAGGGGTTACCAGAGCAGGTTCTACGGCCATCAACTGGGTCCCTTCTTAGGCTTGGGGAATAATTTGGTTTCATTACAGGGGTCTAAAGATGAGGGCCACTGTACGGGGGGCAGAGTGAGTGTCTTTGTTCCCTCAGGAAGACCCCAACTGTGGTGTTCTGGCAGTGGGTGAATCAGTCCTTCAATGCCATTGTTAACTACTCCAACCGCAGTGGCGACACTCCCATCACCATGAGGTGAGAGCCGGCCCCCTGCAGCAGCTGCACTGTCCCATCTGACCCTCTTCTCCCAGCCCACAGTGCCCTCTCCTTTCTCTCCCGCTCCCTGCAGTCCCTGCAGCCAGTGCTCAGCGCTCCCTCCTCAGCCTGCCCCACCCCGACTTACCCTGCCTAACTGAAAGCATGAGGTCCTCTTATGCATGCTGTGGGGGACCCACCCCTCTTCACAGGGTGTGATTGGGGCTTCCAGACAAGTTTACACTGGAGATGAAGGGAGGGCTTCCTCTGCAAGAAGCTTCCCCTTTTATGCCTCATGTATTGAGGACTTGGCATATCCCTAAAGGAAAGGGCCACCTGCTGGACTCTTCACCTCTCCCCGTGACCTGGCTCTTCCACCCACAGGCAGCTGGGGACAGCCTATGTGAGTGCCACCACTGGAGCTGTGGCCACGGCCCTGGGACTCAAATCCCTCACCAAGGTAAAGGCCCCCTATTCCCCTGACCCCCCCATTCATCCTCCATCTGCCTCCTCCTTCCTCATCATGCCTCCAGTCCTGACCTATAGGCCCCCTATATCTCCCCAGAGTCCCTCATCACCCCATGGCCCTCAGGGCCACTGAACAACACCCTTCCTCCGCAGCACCTGCCCCCCTTGGTCGGCAGATTTGTGCCCTTTGCAGCGGTGGCAGCTGCCAACTGCATCAACATCCCCCTGATGAGGCAGAGGTGAGTGACCCCGGCTCCTGGCACGTGCATGCCCGGTATAATGTAGCACAGTGCCCAGTCATGCAGACCACCTCAGAATGGGGACATCCCTCTCCCTCCTCAGACATGAGCTGCTGGGCCCTGGCTCAGTCTGACCCTGGGATCCTCAGATGGGAGAACCAGCCTTTGAGTCTGGGGTGTGTGAGGGAACCCTGAGGAGCCGCTGCCCATTCGGGCATTGCAGGCGGGATCCGGGGCCTGTGATCTGACCCTAACCCTGCTCCCTTCACAGAGAGCTGCAGGTGGGCATCCCGGTGGCTGACGAGGCAGGTCAGAGGCTTGGCTACTCGGTGACCGCAGCCAAGCAGGGAATCTTCCAGGTGGTGATTTCAAGAATCTGCATGGCGATT